TTTACTGTTTGCTCAAAAGCAGTAGTGCTACTGTAAATTGTTCTGCAGATGAAAAACATGAATCTGCATTCTCAATATAATGTCTGGGTAAGCACAAGTGTGGTGAAATAACACCCCACAAAATTAACATTTTATTCGCGGGCAAAGCCCACACAACAACCTGGCAGAGGTTACATAAACTGAGGCTTGTGTTGGGTGCGTGCATAACGGACTTCCCCTCTGAGTGAATCGTCAGACGTCAGCTGCGAGTTTTCCTGTGGTAAGTAGCCTACTTTTCACTTACTTTTAAAACGTAAACCATTACCAATATCAATGAAATTTTAAAATATGAAGAAAGTAAATATAAAATCTAATTATAGGCTATTACTAGGACAGTTTTTTTCCTCAAAAACTGCCGCTTTCATGAAACTAATTCAATTGTCCTGCAACTGCGTTTTCCAGTAGAGATGTGTAGTATTTACATGAACAATGATTTTTCAACTTTTTTACTGCTGCTTATGGTATATTTTACTCGTCAGTTAAATCAATACCGTTAAATGTGTGACGTCATTTGAAATAGCACGAGCGCTCTCTCTCTCGCGCGCTCTCTCTCTCGCGCTCTCTCTCTCGCGCTCTCCCTCTCGTAAATAAAACATTTACACCAGTGCATATACCAGAGAAAAAATATATATATTCAAGTAAAATTATAATCAATTAATTCAAGAAAGAAAATACATTCTTTATTATGGCTTCTTGTTTGTTAATAGAAGCAAGGTCTCATCAAAGTCAGTATTCTCTTAAGTTTCATATTAATTATTTTTTACATTTTATTGTATATATTCTCTTCTCTCTTTTTTCAGTGTTGATTGTAATCTGATGGTGTAAGTGATCAATCTAGCAGTCATTCTAGATATTATTTATCATGTTCATAACATATAGTGATTAGTCAATAATCACTGACGAAAAATAATGATTATTCTTTTTCTCTCTTTTGCTTGTTTCAACAGAAGCTAACTACACCCCAAAGGCTATTTTAGGAGCCACAGCACTGAGCATCTTTGGCTTTGTAAGTATGTGTAGCATTTGGACCAATCAGACACACAACTTTTTGTTATAATTAAGTTGCAGTAAGGGTATTTCACTGTAAATTTAAATTGCGGTAAGGCCATCATACTGTAAAATCAGATTGTGGTAAGGGCATTATACTGTAAAATGAACTTGCAATAAGCTACTGTAAAGGGGTAGTTACAGTAACTTACTGGCAATAGTGCTGCCAGTAATTTACGGCAAAAATACGATAAAAAGTCTAACAGTGTAGACTGTTTGTGAAGCTGTTTCAAACAAAGTTTTACATGATGAGCGCTAGGCCTGTCGCAATAATCAATATATCGACTTATCGCACAATATATGTACATGACCTCAATCATTTTTGGTGATGCAATAGATTGCCCATTATATTTACATAAACATAAATGTCACCATGTTTTTTGCATTCCACTTGCGCCAGTGTCTTTCTTTCTCAGCAGCTTCTCACACATAATGTGGTGTAGTCATGAGGTGCTAGTTCAAATTTAAAAAATGCTTCTACAAAAATCTGCAGATAATCTGCAGATATGGCCTTGTTTAAGGATCTGTGCATTTGTGCATATGGACATCTGATTGCTAAGTAGTGATTGTGTTTTTCAGCAATACAATGCACCCTTAATTAACAGAGAAAAGAACATCTGGGAAAAATCTGTAGATGGAAAAATCTTTTTATTTTTTCTACTTGTTACTTCACACTTTTTGTTAGAAAAGTTTCAAGTTTAAGGTATCTAATATTTTGATAATTTCCATGATCTAAATATTCTTAAGAATTAAAAGTTTGTTGTCATTTGAAAGTGTGTTGGCCTTCTTGCATTATTATGCTTTTATATTATGATTACATAAAATGGCATAAAATGGTCTTAAAAGGACAATAATATTGTTTATTGCAATTCTTTCTGGGGCAATATATTGCACAATAAAAAGTTGTTATTGTGACAGGCCTAATGAGCGCTGCTCTCTCTGGATCAGCGGCTGCGCAAAAGCAGGTTTAAATATTCCGATGTGATTGTGATTTCAAAGGTTTAATAGACATAGCAGAATCACCGTCATTTAGGAATAAGATCGCGTGTGTTTGAATCAAGATCGCGATCTTTTAATGATTAAACGTGCATACACAGGCTATAAAGCTCATATGTATTTTTCTAGCCCATGTCATATTTGTACCAGACCTCAAAAGTAGCCCGGGCAGCCCCCCCGCTTCCGCGACCCATGAGCAGCAGTATGACTCAAATTCATGGCTCAACATCAAGAATGGCCCGATGGCCAGTGTGAGAAATTTGGGGGCAGCTGACCAAGCTGACCATTTGTCCTATCAGGCCTTAATGAATGTCTGATGCATTTTTATACCTACAAACATTCTTCTTTTTGCAAACTGTGATCATTTAAATATGTCACCAAATTGAAGTTACCCATGGGACAGAGATTGCAAGAAATTGTGAGAAATCTGTCCTGCAAATTACCCATGAATTCAGAAAGATGGATAAACAAGAGTAACATGTGAAAGCAGCATGTTTTAAGATTTGCTGGAAAATATACGTCTTTCTAGATGTTTTTGAAAAAAGAAATCTGTTATAACGGTCCCGAACATCCCGAAGAACTGGGTCCTACCTTAACAGCTGAAGTGACCCCATCCTCAGTGGTGCTCTGCCCATTCTGAAAGAGAAGCAGAAAGAGATTCATGCATATATGTATATGCCGCACTAGTTTGGACACAACTACTTGCACTTTACTACTTTCCATAATTAAGAATAATAAGTCATCAAAACTAGTAAGTATGAAAACTTTACAGTAGCCACAACACTTCATGAGGTGCCACGTGGGAATTGTTTTAAACAGGTTAATTAAAACAGGTTAAACATCAAGTTTAACTCATTAATTTGAAAACTCAATTTATTTGTATGCAAAATAATTGCAATCGCTTAGCCTTAAAAATAGTGTACATAAACACAGTTCAGGCGTGCTTACAGCTGGATCCTCTGGCTTATTATCGTGAGAACTGCCACAGCATGTGCACACATGTACTTGAAGGCTCACAGCTGTGGTGTCAAAATCATAAAAGCGTGTTATGCCTAGATGACTTAATCAACAGCTCCTGGGGCATTTAAACAGGCTTTGCTCCTTATACACTCACATACACACGTTCTTTCTGTGAATGTGCTTGAGCATGTTCTGCCAACAAGCTGGGCCTTCAAATGTAATTCTAACAGATTTCACTGCACGGCACTAATAAAAGACATTTACAATTATTCATCGTTTATACTGTACTTCTACTATGTTAGTATTTAATTAGGGTTTAATTATACTTTAAACTGTACACTTTATACCCTGTGTTAAAGTCACCATAAAATATTTTTTTAAGGAACATTGCAGAATATTGGTTTCTTGTTCACCTGTGCAAATTTTGCAAAATTGTCTAAAAAAATTGTCTTGTTTTGATTGTCTTAAATAGTCTGAAATATACAACAAAAGTTATTCTGGTTCAAGATTTTTCAGAAACTAAACACATAAATCTATACAGTGCCTTTACAAAGTGCATTAATATTTACTGAGGTATTATTGGTTGACTGTTGCAAACAACTTCTAGTAAAAATCTAGCACTGCATTGTTTGATCTGCACACATTTAGCTAAAAGAGACTTTAATCAGAGGTTTAAGTGTAAAAAGCCTTACAGAGAACTAAAAATAAAATGTCTGCATTTAGGAACTGTATCTGATGATGGGCGGCCAACATTAAGTAACTTAAAAACTCTTCAGATGAGAGCAAACCACAACCACCCAGAATCAAAATACATGTAAATTCTATAAAAACATGTAGACAGCACTTCCTCATGCTATTTCACCTTAATTTTTCCATTAGGAGAAGCATTTATCTGTGTGACAGACAATTCCTTTATTTATTTCTTAACACACAATGAAGTTCTATCAGTCTCTTCCTCACAAACAATTAAACATGTAAAGACAAAGAGAGAATGTGTGTATGGTTTATTCATTTTCTGAATGTGTAGATTTACCAGCACGACCAACTGATTTCTGCAGCTCAAACTGTGAATTCTCTCATGACCCGGATTCACATCCTGCACAGACTATCGCTTTTAATTTCATTCAATACAGAACCTTGAGCGAGAAGAGAAGGAAATGAAAGAGACAAAAATAAAAAGAATAGGAGGAAGGAAGAAAACACTTCTGGCTGCTCAGAGAAAAATGTAAAACAGACAAAGATCAAGGATTCCTCACATGTGAAGTCAGAGCTTCATTCATTTATGCTGGCTTCAGATCGATTCACTCAAATGCTCTGGAAGTTAAAATTGCTCTGAAAACTCGTCTTAGAAAAGCTCTGGTTTACCATCAATGTCACTTTTGTCGACAATAAGCACAAGAGGTCTGGTAAAGATGTTTCCTTGGTAACTGGAAAGACCAGACTCTGATTGTCTCCAAATTGTGAAGTGAGACTTCTGACCATCCACAAACACTTATATTAACAACAACAAAAACACCATCTACAACCGTGATGCACAAACCCAAACAACCAAAAAAACAACCAAAAAATGGCATAAATGGCTACAAATAACAGGGCTCCAGACTGCGACTAAAATGGTTGCATTTGCGACCAAAAATATTAATTTGCGAGAAGTTTTTGCTGAGGTCGCCACTGGCGACTATAAATTAGCATGTAATGCCTTTTTTACTGATTGTTTTGCGATCACATCTTTTGTTATATTCACGTATTAAACTGAGACGATGCGCATCAAAGTTTTAGTGGAAAAAAAGAGTTTGAAACCGTCCTCATCTCTGCAGCACACCAGCGCTGACGCACACCTGCTAAACGCAGCTCAGTTGAGCAGCGCGAGAGAGATCGAAATGACGGAGAAGTGCGAAGTGAAAGTGCACAAAAGCAGCATCTATTTCATGCACAACTTGAACAAGCTACAACGGGTAAAGCTGTCAGCTGTGTGGATATTGGCAATATCGTTAACAATTCTCATTTATAATCATTACTTATATGGCTTCTACTAATGACATGTGAATAATCCCGCCCACTCTAAAGCGGTACTGAACTGCAGTGGAAACGCAAACCAAGCCGAGCCGAGCCGAGCCGTGCCGTACTGAGCCGTGCCGAGCCGAGCCGTACCACGCAGTGGAAAAGCGCCAAAGATCTTAATCTATGCTGTGTTCTGTTAATGCGTGAACTTCATATTATTTGAAGCGGATTGCCGTCCAGTAATCGCAAAAAGCTTTGTGCCTTGTTACTTTTTAATAAAAGTATCAGCTTTAAAGTTATGCCAAATTAATAACGAAATTAAAACAATAAATACATTTTGGGCACTCTTTAATGCAGCAGGCACGATCGCTTTAGCGCCTCAGTTCAAGCGGCAAGTGAACCCCTTCTCATTACTACTATAGTACATAATGAAAATGAATTAACATCAAAAGGTAGGCTATTTTATATGAGAGCCTACAGTACAACTTACTGAAATGTCTCATGTAATCGCTCATTCTGTGTCAAACTGCGCAAAACGTGTAAAGCTGGTAAACATTGCAACGTAATAATAAATTTACCTCTGAATAACCAGATGTGTCCATAAGCTCATTAGTCAGTTAGAAAAATAACTAAAGAGGAGCATTTTGCTATATTTTTGCGCTATTGCACATTAACATTTTTACTCATACAAGGGGTCACTTTCTCTTTGGAGTGTTACAAGCTCTTGGTGCATAAAGAAGATCTGTAAAGTTGCAAAGACTAAAGTCTCAAATCCAAAGAGCTATTCTTTATAAAAGTTAAGAGTCAACCACGCCTACTTAAAACGGCTCGTTCTAACACGCCCCCACATACCTAAGTCACTATCTGGGAAGATTTGCATAACGCCGCCCAAATGTTCACGCAAAGAAAGAAGGCGTAATTTTTATTCTCGCTGTAGTATTGTTGTTGCCATGTCGCGAAGGTGCTGTGTGTTTCTTTGTGAAAGCGAAACTACTTTGTTTGGCCTTCGAAAAGAGGACTTCGCAATCAACTCCTCCTATAAAATTGCATTTTACTAATGAAGAAAAACAGAATGAAAGTGTGAAAGACATATGACAACATTTATAGGATGCATTTAGGAAGAGCCCAAACTACACTCAGTGGCCAAGTGATGCTTATGGTCCATGATATTGGTACAGATTCTGTGTAATGAACAATTCTTTGTGACTGTATATTTCAAGTTGGAAAAGACATTTAGTTCCCACTTTAAGTGAACCTTAGTTCCCAGGTTATCTACAAGATGGATAAAAATGCTGATAAAGTCAAGAAAAGATGAGATAAACACATGACAGTATGACTGAAATGTTAAAATAATAAATAAACAATAATAATAAAATAAGTTTATTCTGTGGCACCTAAAAAATTTAATTTAGTTTTTAATTAATTAATGCTTAATTAATGCTTACTAAACATTTTTTGTCTGGAGCCCTGAATAACTTTGCTTCATAAGACCTCAATATATCATCAGGAGTCATGGGTATTAATTTTGTGTTGCCTCATTGCCTGTATATGATTTTTTGACTCTCAACATGAAGGTAGCCGTGGATTTGCATTTTATGAATCACCAAGGACCATGGTTTTAGCTAAATTAAGTAAATAAATAATATAAAATAAAATATTCTAATATAAATCTACAATTTATCTAAACCATTTATAAGGTTTTCTCATCAAAAACAGCTTAAAAATGTGGCGGTATGTTTGAGCTTTGCGAACAATGCCATAAGTTTGGAGTGATTAACGAAAAAATTAATTATTTTTACAACATGTTTTACGACACTAGCGGCACAGAAATTACACACTTCAGACACATGCTTTAAAATATAAGCGGAATTATACAAGAATTGATATGCAGTTACATAAATCATTAACAGACGGTGTCAAAGTGAGCTGTGAACATCAGCTATCTGTAATGAAACTGATAAGGAAATATGAGCTGTGCTTTATTAACACTGCACTGTTTAACGCATACAACACTTTAATGAATCCAGGTTATTGAAATCATATAAGATGTACAAGATGATATATTGTGTTTTGTAGGGTCTCTAAGAGAATGAAACAGATTTTTACCTACATTTTGTGAAAGGTCAGAGACATGTACAAAAATAAAACAAATTGATGGTGTTTTTAAAATAAATAAAAAAATGCATAAAATAGCATGTGTACATATCTAAAGTATGTCTGTGCTTTCAGGAGGTTAAAAGGACAAACAGAATAGAACTGAAACTTCAGCACAACTTCTGGATTTCTAGAAAGACAACCCCAAACTATTATTAACATAATGAAGAAAACACACACACAAAGATCAAGAAGCTGGAATGTACATAAAATGCATGAGCAAACCAAAGCAAAAACACAACATAACAGATTATGGCCACTGGTCACATCATGTGACCCAGAAACTCTTTTCCTGACAATGCAATGCAAATGAAAGCACTAAAAGAGTTTTCTGCAAAAAATTAACAATATCTCTCTCATAATGTGACCCTGTTACAGAAATAGAATGCAAGTAATTGGGACCAAAGTGTTCCTCAGAGAGGTGAGAGGAAGTGTGTGTGAAAAAAAGAGGTGTGAATGGAATTAAAAGGCTTGTATTTTAAGTGACTTGGCCATTAATGAAACAAGTGCATGACAGGAGA